GCACAATGCGCGGGGTGCGTTTAGCCTGGAGGAGAAAAACCTGCAGCGAGACACGACGTCCACTTTCCAGAGTCAGCAAGCCGGTAAAAGGCAGAATTGTTTTAGAGCTGTTCCAGAAAGCCGGGCAAGAAACGAGGGGGTTAAATCACAAGGAAGCAGATTTTGGTTTAACATTAAAAAAAAAATCCTCCCCGTAAGAGCTGTTCAGCCCGGCAGTCAGCCTCCCCTTTGCTGGAGGTGTTTCAGTAACGGCCGGAGGGCCATCGGTAGGGGAGGCTGGAGTTACGGGTTCCTGCCCCAGACAAGGGGCTGGACCAGATGACCCCTGCGGACCACGAAAGCGTCCGAGCCCTCCTGGGTTCCAGGAGTGCAGAGAACTCCAACAACCCAGAGATGCCAACCCTGGTCCTCTACAACCGCCGACCTCTCTCTGGGCTGGACTGAGCGGATTTACAGACGGAAGATTTGCAGGCCGTAACGGGGCCCCAACTCCCCTGGTTTTTGCCGCTGCGTAAAGCGGATCGCAGGTCTTAGCTCGCCGTTCAGACTCCAGTCGGAAACGGCCTGGCTCCGGTTCTCCTGCCCGGAGCACGTGATGGGGCTGCAAAGCCCCGCCGGCAGCGGGGCTGGGTTCGCTGTGCCACCGGGGGGAATCAACACAGAAGGCCTCTTGTCTTTTTCAAGTCGTTCTTTTTAATTGCTGCCCCCGTGCTTTGGGTACGCATCACCACTGCACTTGCTCTTTTTTTTTTTAAGGCATTTACTCACACTGCTTTTTGTTCAGGAGGAAATGGTAAAAAAAAAAAAAAAAAAAAGCCAAAAGTCAAGTGAACTTTGGTACCATTTTTGTGCAATAAATTAAAAACGAGGGAAGTGAGAAAACAGGATGGAACAGTCCTCGATAGAGAGAATGCACTTTGGATGGTACCGAAATAAATATCATAAGTTACTTTGAATAAATAGAGCTCATCTATAATAAAATACAGAGAGATTGCATCAACTTCTTAAGCTAAACTCAGGAATAAGTTCGGGACAGCCCACTGAAGAAACAGGAACCCAGGATTTGTTGCACGTGGGATGGCCGGCCGGCCCGGCATTGTGTGGGGAGGTTGAATGGATGCAGAAGGGGCACGTGGCCTGGGGGGCCGTGGATGCCGGGGGCTTCCAGCTGGGAAACTTTTCCCATTAGTAGGGCTGGGATGGGAAAGGAGGTCCTGGGAGAAGGAGAACCAAGTCACCAGGAGAAAACCTGCTGGGGAGAAGGCCCTCGGGGCATGCCCATCCCTTCCTCTGCAGGGCCGGCCTGACCGCCGGGCCGAGGGAAGCAGCCGCCATCTGGGTGCCCAGGCCACCGCCTCCTGTGGGAGGACCGCTGCCGGGGGTCGGCCAGACCCACGTTCCTGAAGTGCCCCAGATGAGACAGACGACCGGTTGGGGGCTCTGGCCCAGCGCTGTTCCAAAGGGCTTCTGGGTCTAAAGCGGCGGAGGGGCCGTGCACAGAAAGGGGGCTTGGCCGACCCTCCTTCTTCCCTCCTTCACCCCCTGGGAGCCCAGAAAGAGGATGGGGGCGCTGCTGGGGGAAGGCACTCCACCGCTCCAGCACCCCTTTCCTGCCCTGCCGTTCTAGGGAGATCTCTGGGCCCGGTGGGTGAGGAGGTGGCAGGAAGAGGACGGTGGCAGTCGGGCACGAGCACCCTCTTGCAGGCACCCAGGCTGGCCGGGGGCCCTGTGGGCAGCACCGAGGCGATGGGGATGGAACAGGGGCCAGCCTCTTTTCTTCCCACCACCCCCGTGCCTGGTGCGCTGTGGAGAATGGGCAGCCGGCCACAGGGTTGGCTTAAGAGAAGGGCCTGAGCCAGGGAGGGGGGGCAGAGGGAGAACAGGGGCTCCGAAGACCCTGCCACGAAGGTGTGTCGTGAAATGGGGCCCTGCTGATGACAGAGAAGCAGAGGGAAGAGACCCCAAGGGAGGGAGG